TGGATTCGTAAGAATATCAAAAATATGCAAAGTATAAGAAACATAAGGAAGGGAGATAGTGCCCTTCTGGAGATCATGACATGTAAAATGACAATCAACCACATTGTGTTTTTGTACGCTCATGAAACATAGAATTCTTGGCAATCATTATCGCAATCCCTTTATCACAATACAAAGGGGGTAGGCAGAGAGATGTGGACACCCATATCTGCAAGAAGCCATCACAACCAAACATCTTACAAGTGGCGGTAGCCATGGCTTGATACTCAGATTTTGTAGAAGATCAAGAGACAACATCTTTTTTCTTACTCTTCCATGATATCAACAAATCTCGAAGAAAAACACAACACCCAATTAAGGATTTAAGATCATAATTATCACTATCCTAGTTAGCATCACTACAGGCACATAGTTTAAGAAAGGATGTAGATGGAAACACAAGGTGTGAGACCCATGTTCTAGGTACTTTATATTTTTGTCTTGATTTATTAAAAGTTTGCAAAATCAGTCCTTATGTTGGGTGTATGTGATAGGTACGTCAATCGTAGGTCATTTAATGTGACCGTGAGTTCTTTCACATACGTTGGGCATACTCATGCATAATGAAAAACCCTGAATTTTAGGGTTTGGACCCCATTTAAACACCTTATGGCCTCAAGGCCTCTCCAACACTAGCCTCCATTGTCCCAAAGAAGTCCACTCGAAACGCTAGCCCTATTTGGGATATTTATGAGCATTTGAGTGAGTTGGTGTGTTTTTGGTGCATATTGAAGAAGAATGAACTCATTAGAGAAGTGTTGGTTGGTTTAAAGCTTGTAGATCCTGACTTTGTTCATCTTGATCATCCTTCTGGAGGTATAAAGTCTCAACCTTGATGATTCATTTCTTAGATCTAGTTTATCTTTGGTTTTTGGTATATTTTGATCCCATGGTTTGATTCTTATGAGTAAAAGCTACTCAAGAAGCTTAAGATAGCATTCCTTGATGTTTATGAGGTCCCTAGTGCATAAAAATTGTATCTTGATGACATTGGTTCATCCTTGCATGATTTTTTGCTCTTCATATGAAGTTAGAAAGTTAGAATTTGGTTTTTGGGCTTCTTTGAGCCATGAAATGGTATCAAGTTGTAAAATTTATCAGTACAGGCATTCCAAAGAGCTAGATTGGTGAATTAGACCTTTAGACTTTAGGTATTAAATGCTTAATATGGATTTTTGGGCATCAAGGGAGTACGTTGGGTGTACCCTCTAGGTACGCTCAACATATCATGTTCAACCCCGATTTCCATTCTCTGTTAGACTAGGACGTTGGGCGTAATGGGGTGGTAAACATGGCGTACTCACCAGAAGGCCTTTTGGGACATTTTTGGGTCTTAAGTCGTTATGGGTTTGTGCCATGGTTATAGTGGTCAATGTTGAGTGTGTCAAAGCCAACAAATGAAGGGGTAAAAATCACTCCTTAAACACTACTACTTTGTACTAAAAATGTAATACAAGGTAAGTATGGTCGATCCACAGAGACACGAGATAAATGCTTATATCCTTTTTGCATAAGGTGCAAATGATATTACAAAAGAGGGGGGGGGGGGGGACGAGGTAAGTTTAACTCAAATAAAAGACTAAAATTTTTAGTAGACAATTGATTAAATAAAATGAAATCAAGGTTTATAAAATACTCAAACTCTATGGAAGACTAGTTAGCAATGTGATTCAAGATATGAATTGATATTTGTTTAATTCTAAGTTGGTACATACAAATGCTAATAAGCTTTAGAAATTCACATTCACCGTTTTAATTAATTAAAATAAGTTCTTTAATTAATTCTAATCCAACCAATCTAATCTAACCAAGTTCTTAGAATAGATGGAAAACTTGCTTTATGCTTTGTGTGAGTTTTACCAACAACATTGAATACTACTGATAAGTTTGGAAGTGTAAGAATGTGTGAATTTGATTTACACCAGAATTATTTTCAGAAAGTTCAATCTAGTGTTAGTTACTTGTTCTATATGACAAAACAATTACAGATTTTGTATAATAGATAACTTGAATGAATCAACTCTAACTCAAATTAGCCAAAAAGAAATAGAATTGAAATCAAACCTTCAATTAAAACAAAATCAAATTCACTACATAGAATTTAAAACAAACACCAAGTTCAATGATTGAATTCACACACACAATAGTTAATACATGAAATTGGAGAGTTAGCTTTCTAGCTACTCATGACTAGAACAAAACACAAACCTAGAAATTAAAATTAATGTCTTATAAATTGAAATCCAAATGAAATCCAAGTGTTTCCAAGTGACAATTGCCTTCAAAATTCTCCCCACAATCACCTCCAGAACTCATCAAATCGACTTAACTTCTAATGAAACCGGTTGCACCTTTTTATAAAGAAGATAAACTGTTTAAAACTTATTACCTCATTTACACGGCCCTTGAAAATACAAGGGTAAACTTTACACCACCTTGTAAACACAAAAATTATGCTGCACAATTTGGTCAGACCTTCAAAGTACATTGCTCAAGATTATGCATTTACACGGCCTGTGTAAATACAAGGCCTCCATTTACACGGCTAGTGTAAATCTCTGAATGCCCAAAATCTTCATTTCATTGATATCCTCCTCCTCGATGCTTCACAAGTCCCGAAACTTCATCTACATCTCTAATTCATCTCTTTAAGTAAAATCCTACCTCCAAAAGTCCTTGAAATATCACAAAAGTGTGTGAATGAAATTATCTCATGAAAAATCTCGAAAAACATGCAAAATGCATGAGTATAAGACTATATGCAATGCACTTTTATGAAGTAAAATTACAAAATGGATGCATGAAACGCACCTAACAAATCTTCCCAAGCTTGAACCTTTCTTGTCCTCAAGAAAGAACAAGAAAAACTTAAACCAGAGAAAATAAAAATAAAACAAGAGAAACAAAAATCAAAATCAAAACTTTTGAAACTTAATGCAAAAAAAATATATCAAAACAAACATGAAAAAAATCCAACCCAATTAACCTCGTTTTTGTAGCATAGTTGAGAATGTGCCTGTTGTGCCTTGAGTCAACTTGGCTTTAGTCTCAAAATATTATACAACAATGGAAATAAGACTTTAGCCACTCCCTAATGCAACTTAAAAGAATCAAATATCACAACACTTGTTCCCTCTCAATAGAATCATGCTAATTCATGGAACAAACTATGGTCTAACTCTCGTGAAATTTTATGTGACAAAACATGCTCAATCATCCTTGTTTTACAAAATATGACAATGACCGATTCCAGCTTTTTGTTGATTAACAACAATCATTTTCTAAAAAGTCTCTTCTAAAAATTCCCAAGTATTTACCTAGATTGGTTACAAATTTCAAATAACTTACACCAATCAAAGTAATTAACAAGTCAGCCTCAATGTCATAAGTTCAAGTTCAAGTCCAAAGTTATCTTTTGGCAGCCAAACATTTTTTCTAAACATATTATTTAATTAAACAATAGACATAAATATATACAAACTATCTAATTACATCTTCCTATAAATAAAACTTATGGCTATCTAATTACATCTTCATATTTATATATTTTTTGTTATTATTAAGTTCATGACTTTCTATAGAACCCGTGTAGCGAACTTTCAACCCAATCAGTCCCAAACTATTCAGCTTTAGGCTATTAGGTGTAGAACACCCCTCAGAACTTACTTATTTGAGTCCCAAAGGTCATAGGTTAACTTTATATATATATATATATATATATATATATATATATATATATATATATATATTCGTCCATGACTTTTGTATTGTGGGATAACTCATGGTATATTACCGTGAGAGACTTCTAGACATTTTTCTGGGGGACTGAAGTTAACATGCAAAGATCTGTAAGTATAGTTGGAAACTATGTCCCCAAGCAGGGTATATAAAAGGGAATGAGTAAGAAAGACTTTTTTGAGCGCTGGAAGGCTCGGGACACTGAAATTTTTTAATTCTTTTTATGATTTCTTGAATTTGACATTTTAAGTTCAGTTGACCACTTACTATTTATAAGACCAGTCATTCGTACCAAAGATCGACTCATACCTTTTGTTATGCTCCAATGTTGACAATCTTCTCACTTTATGTTTTGCACAAGTAGCTTCAGGTGGTGTGTTCGTGTGTGATTAGCTTGTTTTTAGATTTTTAATAAAAGAGCAAGTCTAATTTCAAGGCATACGACTCACTTACCAGCTCAACTGTTTTGAGAAGATTCGGTTGCTTGGGATTGAATCAACATTTTTTATAACATGAATGCAATGCAAAAATTCAGATGGAAAATGCAAAATAATAATAATAATATGTAGAATAGAAAGAAAGTCATTTTAGTTTTTGAAGAAAATTTAACATGCAGAAAACAAGAGCAACATTAAAATGAGAAAGGAAAACATAATTATGCGATATGTACACAACTGCAACCTACATGCAATGGGATCTATGCATGTATGGATGACCTCCCCAAGCTTAAAATATAGCATCATCCTCGACGCTTGGAGAGAGGCATAGCCGGCCTATTGAGGGCCGGGCGTTGGTGGATGTGGTGGTAACTATGGAGGGTAGTAGGGCTAATAATCTGTAGGATAATATGGGGGACACTGGGGTTGAGATGTTGATGGTTGTTGTTGTGGTGGAAGGACAAATACTCAGTGGAGGTCACTCATCAAGTAGTGGATATTGCGGTTGTGTTGCTCTTGAGCTGCCCATCACTGATCAAACTCAGCCCACTGCAACTCTTGTTGGGCCCAACGCTCCTCCTGAAGGTTACGGTAGTCATGAAATTCCGAAGTGTTTTCAGGAACACCCGTATAAATCTCTCCTACCTCTGTTGTAGGATTGTGTAATAGTGGTCTAAGTGTGTAAACTCGCCCATGTAGATGTTGTGTTCGGGAAAAGGAATGGGGAGAGATGAGCTAGAAGCACCTGTAGTTGTAGAAGGAGTTTGAGGAATGGTGGTTGGTGGTCTACGGGCTGCAGTAACACCCAAGTTCGACTGGAGGTGCCAATTGGTAGATGGGATTGTCATTGGCCAAGGCTAATATCTTCTTATTTCGGCTGTCAATGCGTAGATATGCATTACCATCGACGGTCCAATGAACATCCCCATCGGGATTGCGGTGAAAAAGGTGCATGGACTCCATAACATCTATAGACAAACAAGTGCAGCCCAAAATAACATCAGTTGGGTAATTGGGTAGGTGGAGGCCACGATGTTCAACTATAATGGAAACCATTCCGCCACAATGAAGCTGCCCACCATTGCTCATGGAATTTCTGAGCATTTTTTGAATTACCCAACACCCGAAATGTGGAACTTCCTCAGGCTTTTGAATCATGCACCACAAAACTTCCTACACCTTGTTTGCCTTGCTAATCTATTCTTGAAGAAATAAGAGAGAAGTAATGATCCGGTGGGTGACTTTAAGGACCGGATGTATGATGCTAGAAGCCTTTGTCATGCCCGACTGAAACTCGTTTTCACAAGAGACATTTGTCCAAAACCTTCTGCAGCTTTGCTCAAATATGAAATTCTTTCTACCCTTTGCCGTATACACATCCCTTTTTGCTTTAGGAGCACCAATAATATCACAAAGGGTGTGAGCATGAATGTTATGGGATTGATTTAGCAAACGGAAAGTAATGATGTGTCATTGGTAATCAAATGTGATGGATGACAAGAGTTCCAACATGGGTGTTTGATAGCTTAATGCATGGAGATTCAATAGACCTTCCCAACCGATGTTCTTCAAGAGCTTGTGGACACCTTTATAGATGTGAAGGTCCTTGAGGACTTGGATGTCCATAAAATTTGAGCCCCCTTTACCCTTCGAATAAGTCTTGAATAAAAAATCTCTTGTGGATTGGATTAAAAAATAAGACCAAATTCATAGGGGTTTTCCATGGAATGTTGGTCTTGCTCATCACTAGTTTCTTGACCACTCATATGTGAGGTCTCAATCCTAGCCCCTTTTCCACAGGAAGCCATTGCCCAATGAATTCAACAAAGTTTTGCACACAATGTAGGATAATTTTGAACTCTAGAGTATGCACAAAAACTAGCAATACCACCAAAAATCACCCCAAAAGAATGTGATTCTAACTATATGCGCAAAGATAAGAGTTTGGAACAATTATACCAATTTGTGCATGTAAATGGTGTTAGGTGATGTCCAATGCTTCCCCAAGCTTTCCCCAAGCGTATCCTACAAGATATTACAAACATTAGCACGAAATTTGAAGATCCAAAAATTCTAGGGTTTGCTCAAAACCCCCAAAATCGGCCATTAGAGGGTGATATTGAAATGTATGATAAAGAAGATGATATAAGAGAGGAATTTCAAACCTTGGAGCTTAATTTTTGAAGTAAAATTGAGGAAGATGGAGTCTTTTTGAGATTTTTTTTTGAAGGAGGAAGTAAGGGGAATAATATGTGCAGGTTTTGTGAAAAGAATGAGCAACAAAAATTGATTTTAGCCTAAAAAAGTGTCCAACTCTGTTTTTACGTTTACATGGCCCGTGTAAACACAAAGGTGAAATTTACACGGCCGTGTAAATGGTTCATCTGAACTGTGTTGGTTTGATCGTTTACAAGGCCCGTGTAAACCATAAGCATAAGTTTACACGGCCGTGTAAACTTCTGAGAAGGCTTTTTGATTTTTTCACTTTTTGAAATTGTAACCCGCTAATCCACTACTGCCCATAAAATCTTTTTTTACCCTCTTTAAACATGTTGGAGACTTGAAAATGAAGAAAATATGATGGAAAAAATAAGAAATAGCAAAAATACCCCCAGGTTGCCTCCTAGTTAGCCGCCTATTTTTAATATCGTTGGCTCGACTTGGACCCCAATTATTTGTCAATCTTGGCACTTTGGATCTGTTACTTCCTCCACCTCTTCATTTTTGACTTGGAATCCTTCATATTAAGGCTTCAAACGATGGCCGTTTACCTAAAAGATCTTCCCGGTTTTCTCGCTTGTGATTTCTATTACACGATGTTCAAAAACATTAGTGACAACAAATGGTCCCACCCAACTGGACCTTAATTTACCAGGAAACAATTTAAAATGAGAATGGTAGAGTAATACCGTTTTACCTTTTTCAAATACCTTGCGTGTATTCATCTTGTCATGGCATGGTTTTGTCCTTTCTTTGTAAATGACTTCATTCTCATATGCTTTATTACGGATCTCCTCAAGCTCTTGTATGTCAAGCTTCCCCTTCTTTCCCGATTCACTTAGATCCATGTTGAACTGCTTGATTGCCCAATAAGCTCTATGCTCCAATTTAACGGGTAATCGACATGGCTTTCCGAAAACAATGCGGTATAGAGACATCCCAATTGGAGTTTTGTATGCAGTGATGTATGCCCACAAAGCATCATCAAGACTTTTACTCCAATCTCTCCTTGTTGTATTCACAGTTTTCTACAAAATACCCTTGATTTGTCGATTGCTCACTTCGGTTTGTCCACTGGTTTGTGGGTGGTATGTTGTGGATACTTTATGAGTAACACCATACTTGTTTAACACACTTCCAAGCATACGATTGCAAAAATGTGTACCACGATCACTGATTAAGGCCTTTGGAACACCAAATCTAGAAAAGATGTTAACCTTCAAAAAACCTATCACAACTTTTGAATCGTTAGTACGAGTAGCTTTTGCTTCCACCCACTTAGAAATATAATACACAGCCAAAAGAATGTATGTGAAACCCGGAGATGATGGAAAAGGTCCCATGAAATCAAAGCCCCAAACATCAAGAATTTCACAAACTAAAATGGGATTAAGGGGCATTTGATTCTTTTAGCTTAAAGAGCCCAGCTTTTGACATTTATCACAACTTGCACAAAAGACATAAGAGTCACGAAAAATAATTGGCCAGTAAAATCCACTCTCTAATACTTTTCTTGCAGTTCTTTGAGGACCAAAATGCCCTCCACAAGCGTAAGACTGACAAAATATTAAGATAAAAGGTACCTCATGTTGATCCACACATCATCTAATCATTTGATCAGCACAATATTTCCACAAATATGGCTCATCCCATACATTCCTCTTGACTTCTTTCTTGATATTTTCTTTTTGTCATCGAGTCAAATATGGTAGAAATTGATTTGTGACGATGTAGTTCACAATATCGGCATACCATGAGGCAAATTTTGCTGAAAATAGATTCTCATTGGGAAAGACATCATGAATGGGAGTTGAGTCACCAGGAGAAACAATCCTACAAAGATGATCAACTACAAGGTTTTACTTTCCACTATTGTCCTTGATTTCAGTATAAAACTCTTGCAAGAGTAAACCCATCGAATGAGTCTGGGCTTTGAATCTTTCTTTGAAAGTAGGTACCTAATAGCTCCATGATCAGTATAAACAATCACTTTAGAACCTAGTAAATATTGACGAAATTTATCTAAAGCAATTACAATAGATAACAATTCTTTCTTAGTTGTTGAGTAGTTGGCTTGTGTACTATCAAGTGTCTTTGAGGAATAATAAATGACACCAGGAAGTCGATATTTTCTTTGGCCCAACACTGCACCAACTGCATGGTTGCTGGCATCACACATCATTTCGAAAGGCAAACTCCAATCCGGTGATTGAACTATTGGTGCTGATATTAACAACTCCTTCAACTGATCAAAAGCTTGCTTGCATTCCCCTGGAAAATTTGAATTCTGCATCCTTTTATAGGAGCTCACACATGGAATGAGATATCTTGGAATTTTTTTTGATGAATCTTCTATAAAAACCTGCATGACCAAGAAATGAGCGTACCTCACGAACACAAGCGGGATAAGGTAAAGATTTAATGACATCTATTTTTTGCTTTATCTACCTCTACCCCTTAGAAGACACAGTATGACCTAATATGAGACCTTTGTCAACCATAAAATGAAACTTTTCATAATTTAAAACGAGGTTGGTCTCAATACATCTTTGCAAAATCTTTTTCAAATTACGCAAACATTCATGAAAAGAATTACTATAAACTATGAAGTCGTCCATAAAAACTTCAAGGATTTCCTCAACATATTCCAAAATAATACTTACCATGCAACTTTGAAAAGTGGCGGGAGCATTGCTAAGTCCAAAAGGCATTCTCCTATAAGCAAATGTTCTGAAGGGACATGTGAAACTGGTTTTCTCTTGATGCTCGGGTGCAACGGGTATTTGATGGAAATCGGAATACCCATCCAAGCAATAATAGTGAGTTTTTCCCGCTAACCTTTCCAACATCTGGTCAATAAAGGGAAGTGGGAAATGGTCTTTCTAGGTTCAGGATTTGAGTCTTCTATAGTTAATGCAAACTCTCCACCCATTTTGCACATCGGTGGGGACTAATTCACCTTGGTCATTTTGTGTAACAGTAATACCTGTCTTCTTTGGTACAACTTAGACCGGGCTTACCCACTTGCTATCTGATATAGGATAGATCATCCCTGCATTCAATAACTTTAAAATCTCTTTTTTCACAACCTCCATCTTTGGAGGATTCAAACGCCTTTGAGCTTCTCGGGAGGGCTTGTAATCTTCTTCAATAAGAATCTTGTGCATGAAAAGTGAAGGACTTAGCCCTTGATGTTGGCTATAGTTCACCCAATATCTTCCTTATAGTCCTTTAAAGCGGTGACAAGCTCTTCTTATTCTTCTTCTTCTTTTGTTGATAACTTTGTGGAAATGATCACTGATAAAGTCTCTTTCTCTCCAAGATACGCATATTTGAGATGCTCAGGTAAAGTCTTGAGTTCCAATTCTGGTGCCTGCACAATAGAAGGAACAAATTTCTCATTAGGCATCGGTAATTTTAGCTTTGGAACATCAAACCTCATTTTCTTCTTTTGGTCCATGCAAGATGAAATTTCTAAAATCTCTTCATCAATTTTGAATTGGTTGGAAAGTTTTTCCACTTCATCCTTTTGAAGATTCCTCTAAAAAATGAGAGCTAACACATCGAGATTAGACAAATCAAAACACTCTTCGGTTAATGGTTCTATGACATCCACAAAATTCAAAGAGGAAATATCACTTGGATATCTCATAGTATCATAGATATTGAAATTTATCACCTCTCCATCAAACTCCATAGACAATGTACCATGATAAACATCAATTTTTGTTCGGGCTATTTTCAAAAAGGATCTTCTTAACAGAATTGAACTCAAATTTGGTGAGTCATCATCATCCATGTCAAAGACATAAAAATCTATTGGAAATACTAGTTCATTCACATGGACTAACACATCTTCTAACACACCTTTTGGATGTACCAAA